TGTCTATTTATCAATTAAAATACGTTTCGGTGTTTTCCACCATCATCAGTTTCTATGTGTAGCGTTGTTGCTACTTTAAGCCTTGGCATATATTTTAAAATATATGCCAATATATCAAAGTCAGTCAAAATAAGTGGTTAATAGCTGTTTCAGACCCTTTACCTGTTACAGTAAAATGCAGTTCTAAAGAAATTGTATCAAAGATTATCAACAATAACACCCTCTTAGGACTTCAACCTGAATGCAACGTTTTTATTGGCAGCACTAGAGTTCAAGCAAATAAGATGATAGATGTTCATAAGAACGTTACCTACAACAGTCACCCAGTAATCATTCCTTATTCTTGTTGCAACAATATTCCAGAGAACATACATCTGCCAGTATTAAAACCACTTAAACGCAGTAAATTAGATGTTGAAGGCCTCAAAATAGCTCAACGTAAGCTGAACCAATATTCCGATGAATTGAACAAACTTCTGAACCAATCGTTCGTCAGCAAACATCTCAACTGGATCACCCCCTTGACAATAACACTGATTGTCATGGGGGTAATCCTGTACATCATCTGCAAATATAGAAGAAGAAGAAGAAGGACTACATTTCCTTGGATTGGAATTGGAATCACCGCATGCAACCACAAATTTCCTCCTTCATCACCCAGTCAACTGAAAAATACATTCATGAAACAATGGAAGAAGATTATTCCCAAAAGAAGACCTTCAATCAACCTGAGGAAACATATAGAAGAAGATGAAGAAACATCATTAAATCTCAATAAACAGTTAGCTGAAAAAAGTTGTTTTCAGATACCAACTTTTTTGTAAAAGGGGGAGCTGTTATATCAAGTCTACAATCAAGGCCACCTGTAAACATGCTTTTATGTGAATAAGTGCCCACAACAATGCATGCAACAAAGATCCATTGTATCTGCAAGCTCAGCAAAAAATCATCTATCCGTGATCCCACGATGTTGACCCGTTGACCCAGCCAGGATCTTTGTCAGCCAGTATTTCGCACCAACAAAGAGTCGTAATTATTCTTCCCTTATTTTGAAAAACTTGAAATTAATAAAGTGTTGTTTTTTAAATTTATATTTGTATAACATATGTAACATATATATAGGGTGATTCAAAATTGGCGTCATTCCTCTGGAGGTGTTGTATGGCGCTGTTATAGAAATACAGGGAAAATAGTAAAATAAATTAGTTGATGTTAAAAACTGAGAAATTTGCAAAAAACCATATCAGAAATACGGCAGCAATGTTTTTTAAGGTAATCTGTCTTATTAACATTGCGCAGATACCTGTTGCTTCGTAATTATTTAAAACTCCGGTAACCATAGAATTATACAGACTGACAAAATGATAGACAAGGATAAACGGTAAATTTAACAAGATTTGTTGACGAAATGTCAACCTGTTCTCATAACCTCGAATATTGGTGTTTGAAAATAAACCATACAACACCAAACATTTGAATGGTTAACTCCAACCAAGCTAGTGCCTGTGTAATCTCCTTATTATCCACTCTTATCAAGCAGCTTCTCGAACTCAGTTAATTAACTCCTGCCCCATTTGTTAATGTGTGTGCTCCTTGTACTATGTATCGTGCAAACGTGGTAGGAATGTAGGCCTTTCTCGGTATTTATTTGGTGCTTGAGAAAGTGTTAGTTATTGAGCTCTGAGTGCCCCTTGAAGGCCCTGATTCGATTATATTCGATTATTCCTCTGTCTGTCTCTGGAACCCGAACATCGATTATCGTCCACTATCTTCCTGGAACCATTCTCCTCGCTCTTTGTTGGAGTGAGTTCTTTAAGCTTCTGCTATGTTACTGATTTATTTCCCTTAAACTAATCGCATATCCGCAAATTCGTGAAAGGAAATTCAAAGTAAGTCACAGTTTGACAAATTATTGTTTTTATTGACAAGGGACTATCCACCTGTAACTATCTGTTAATGACAAAAAATATCCATTGCCGCTGTGCCATTTCATAAAAAAATTTTAGAAGGGAACTTTTTTGATATCAAAAATTTTCGTAATTTATTTGATGGAAAGATGGTAATTTTTCTTTTTGAATGCTTAAGTATTCCAATATGCTGCTAATTAAACATGGAACATTTTCTAAATAATGCTTAACAACAAGGTTGAAATTCGATCTTCAACTGTTAATATCTTCTAGAAATTTTTGAAAAAAAATGTTTCTATATTTTTATCGTAATATTCAAGTAAGCATCTATCACCCCTTAAAAGGAATGCCGCCAATTTTGAATCACCCTGTATAATTCGAACAGGATCAATAATAATAAATATTAATTTACAGCTACTGTCATTCAATTCCCATGGCTTCTGATAAATCTGAAATTATTAAGATATAAATGATATATTTTTTACTCAATTTTTATATACACTCCAAAACTTACTTATTTTCGGCGTTTTCCTGAACTATTAAGCAATTAGTCGGCATTCGCCATTGAGGCTTCGTAGTTGAGTCGCATCATTACAGGAAAGATAGGGGGTGTCTCCAGCTAGACCTGGAGCATATGCTGGACCTAGGGGGATTGTCACATGTTAAGTACATTAATTTCATAAATAACTGCAAGTAGTACGTAGTTACTGAGAGCAATACCTAATTGACTGCGAACATATTTTTGCTGGACCAGTAGTTTCAGATTAACACAATCTGCATATGACATTTCTAAATTATTGTACTTCATTGAAACTTGAACTAAATTAATTCAATATTGCTAGAAGAGCTTAAACAGTTGTAGTTCATTAATCACTTTTCCAAGGTTAACAATGAAAATATTCATTGCCCTGCCCATATGAGCAACCTAGGATCACCCATTATATCGAAATACATCAACAAAACATATTTAATACATCATCTACAAGGGTTTCCGTTATATAGATAAGATCGATGACGATTAATACGATGAAGACGTTTCAAAAAATTATATCGAAAGGAAATTTGAAACTGAAATAGTTCTTATTATTTAATAAAACCACATTGTTTATCTAAATTGGAATTATTGCACATGTGTTGACACTAAATACATAAAGAATTGATATGTACTATGTGGTGCTTAATTTAAATAAATATATCCAAAATATCGATTGCTTGACATTATCGTGTGTAAATCAGCTTTTTGAAGGTATCTTGTGTTATTTCGTTTGCTTATTAATTTATATTTTGGATTTGGAAATCTTGCAATACATCTAAATTTTGTGTACCAACTTCTGCAAGATCTAGTCACTTGAATCAGCGTATGGTATGGGCGGAAGACTTGCGGATGTAGTCTCATAAATCGGGATGTTCAAAGAAAAACAAGATTATTTTCATGCCCCTAAACACACTTGAAGAACCTAGACCCGGTTTTTAAAAAGAACATCTTGCAGCCGAATCAACAACTACAGAGTTTAGAGCAAACTCGTCAAAGATGCTTGATGTCGCTGATTTAGATAAACGCGACAACTATTTGTTGCTTTTCGATATTTCAACTATCCCCACCACATTAAAGGAAAAAACAACGACTTGAGGAAAAAAATTATTCAAGTCACAAATCATGAACGCTTTACCATATAAAGTGTAATTGAAAAAATCAATTCAGAATTATCTAAATACTGCCAATAAAGGAAAGCGCAATTATTGTGCGTCGAACTCAGGAAAAGGCGGTACGCCGAGGTGACAGAGGCGGGACCCAGTGGCATACAGACAATGCCTCGTGAAGTCAGGGCTAGGCTTGGAGCAAAGGTGGCTGCTACTGGGGTGAGCACTTCGAAGTCGATTCGCTGCTACAACCAGCATTTTGGGGACCACCTGAGTAGGGACTGTCAGGAATCCATGGCGAAACAGTGCTGACTATGTGGACAGATAGGACATTATGTACATTATTGTCCTCGGCGAAAAGAATCAAAGGTAAGTGCACCGGAAGATGCAAAAGCGGCATTTGTGAGGTTGATTAATTCGACCCATACCTACAAAAAAATCGCAGTGGCTCAGAATGACGTTAAGATTAAGGAGTACATTGACACTGGCAGCGAGCGTAACATTCTGTGTCGGCTCTCCGTTGAATATTTGGGTTAATTAAAGATTTAAGACATTCATCTAGTGTTGCGAGGGTTCGGAGAAAGCTTATGGATGGCCATGGGAGAAGCAAAAATACTCATAGATGGCGTCTCCATGGAAGTTAATGCTTTTAATGCTGAGAGCCATCATTCTGGCCTTGATTTTCTTTTAGGGCAACCGGCGTTAGTTTTTGCGTCTGGTTCAGCGTTATAATCGGCACGGCAACGATGACTGGCGACGAGGCAGCCCTGGATCAGCCGATCCAGTGCATCAGTCTGCAACTGGACGAGGCGAGTAGGCGGAGGATAATGTCCATGCAGAATATCACCGGGGAACCTGGCGAAAAGGCAGAACTCCAGGTAGTGGTCCACGATGGCGTTGCTGGTATGTATAATCTGGTCGGGGAGAGTCAATTTGAGACAGATGGCGAAGTGGCGACCCGAGGTGTACCACTGGTAAGGGGCCACCAAGATCTCAGGTAAGAACTAACCCTCATAATGCATGTGACATTGATATAATCGATGCCGGGCGTGATAAAACTGGCAATATTGGTGGTGAATGTTATGAGCAGCAGTTTGGCGATTGGCCAGTTTTCCGAAATGTGTCAAAAGTTTTGCCTTAGTTGCGCAATATTTGTCAACTTTAACCAATAAAGATGTTGTATAGCATTGGGATGATTCCGAGCAGAGCAATTTTGCATTTGAGCAATTGAAGGCATTGTTGTGGAAAAGACCGGTACGAGCGTTGTATGATAGTGGCAGGGCGATAGAGTTATATACGGATACTTGCAAACTAGGTGCAGCAGGTGTTTTGCTGCAGAAACAAGACGATGGTGAATGCCAACATGTGTTTTATTTTAGTCGAGTCACTCTGGTAACTGAGCAGTAGTGGCATATTTTTAAATTCGAAACTTTGAAAGTTGAATCGGTAAAGAGATTCCGGGTTTATCTGATAGGTGTTCCCTTCAAGGTGTTTACCGGTGGTTCCTCGGTCAGATCAACGTAGATGAAAAAGGATTTGATACCTCGAATTGCACGTTGGTGGAACACGCTGCAGGACTTCAACATGGAGATCGAATATCGACCTGGCAATAAGATGAGACATGTCGACGATCTTGGTAGAAATCCTGTTGATGTGTGCATGATGGCCATGGGCGTGGCGGTTTGGTTTTTAACAGTGCAGCTTCAGGATCCTTAGGCGCAGGAGTTCGTTTCTGCATTAATTCAGCATGTAGCGGATGAATGCTTGGTGGCGAAATTTTGGGGAGTGTTTGGCAAATTTAGATATCCAAAGTGAATGATTTCTGACTGTGGTCTGGCTTTTACTAGTAAAGCGTTCACTAGCTATTTGGTGGAAAAGAGGGCGAAACATGTGCTAAATGCGACGCGAATGGTCAGGTAGAGAGACAGAATCGGACAATGTTGAATGCAATTGAGACGAGTGCAGATTCCGAGGCGACTTGGGATGAAAAGCTTCCTGAGATTGTATGGGGCATGAATTAGACTGTGAACAAGGATCAGGTGGCTCAGGTTCTGTGCGGAAAACAACTGGTGGGGTTCCCATGGGAGATGGATTATTATTGATGTTGATGTGGACGGTGCAAGGCGTTTATTAAAATTATTGAGTTTTGCATCGATCGTATTTTTAGTCAAATTTAACCCTACCAAAATGTCAAAATTTTTTTGAAAAATTTCTAGTAGATATTAACAGTTGAAAATCGAATTTTAACCGTGTTATCAAGTATTACTTAGAATCGGTCATATGTTTGCAAAGTAGCTTATTGAAATACTTAAGAAATTGAAATGAAAAATTATCGTATTTACTTCAAATTACAAAAAAAATTCATATTCTAAAAGTACTGCTCTACATTTTTGGATGAAAAGTCAAAGCGGTAATGCTGTTTGTCGTCATTAACAGGTGTTACAGGTAGACAGCCCTTGTCAATAAGAACAATAATTTGTCAAACTGTGACTTACTATGAAGCTTCTTTCACGAATTTGCGGATATGCGGTTAGTTCTGGGGAAATGGCACCGTAACATAGCCAAAGCCGTAAGAACTTTCACCAACTAGAAATATTGGAAGATAGGAAGATGGTGAACGACAATAGATGTTTGGGTTTCAGACACAGAGGAATTTTAGAGAATAGCAGCTTAGCCTTCCAGGCGTCTTGCATTAAGTTCTGCGTTACTGCACAACAACTAACACTTTCCCAGACACCATGTGCCGAAGAAGGAAATATTCCTGCAATGTATGTAAGGCACGACACATAGAAACATCGTCATATATTATATTCTGGGCGTTTATGGCGGATTCAGGTTAAGGTTATCGGTCATGTTTGTGTTTCAATGGTTACTAGAGTTTGTAGTAATGAAGAAGTAACAGGTATTTATGTAATGTTAACAAGGCAGACGACCTTGAAAAACATTGTCGCCATCCTTCTGATCTAGTTCTTTGCTAATACCTTAGTTATTGATAACAATGTATTTTTTGACTGTTTTTCGTGTACTCCCAAAAGACCCCTAGACAGCACCCCCAGAGGATTGACGAACATTTAGAATCACTCTGTATAAAGGGCGACCCATATTCGGGTCTTCTCCTCTATGTTGTGACTTGAAAAACGATTTTTTGTATGCAACGAAAACGTAGTAGTTTAAAACTTGAAATTGCGAAGCTCAGTAACAGAAGCTATTCAATATTACTCACCTGTATATGCTGATCGTGCAGGTGGTTTGGGGGTAGTTCTATATCTGGCCTTTATTCTTCCTGTTCATATTAAAGTAGTAAATCGAAAACGAGAATTTTCAACTTTATAGCAATTAAATTATGTTTGACATAAGTGTAACATATGATTCGATTTTTAAAGCAGCTTTAAATCTGTCTTTTTAACCTGAACTAAGAACAGGTTCTTCAAGGCTTATAATATAAATGACGAAAATATTTATAGTTTGAATTTTAGAAATTGCAAAAGGGATGGGAGATGTAGTCAAAGCTGAGTACGGTTCATTATTATATTGTCTCGAAGAGTGATAGTACTCCGTGAAGTAGTAACGTTTGTCATTATAGAGTAATAAACTCGGTTAACAGCTTCTTTGAATTGAGTTCTCAATTGAAAACAGTGTAATATTGATTTAACTTCATACCAACAGTATTGTTATCTGAAATTATACCGTACAAATTGGACAGGATAGAATTATTTTCGAGGGTCAATCCGCATATAACAAAGCGAAATGTTTAAAGTTCCTTGCGTCCCTTAACCTTTAAATACAATTTTATATTATTAATTAATTACAGGCTTTATTTCTTAAATGAAGAACTTTTTATTGATAGTATTTCCAACAATTCATGTGTCTTCTCACACAACTGGTTCATTTGAGGTCTAATTTTGTACGTGTTATGTAATAACAATAACATAATACCATTCCCGAACCACATCACCTCAAAACCTTGCAAAATTATAACATAATCAGCAAATGTACAGTTATCAAAGCTAACTTTCGTATAGAACTACACGGTGAAAATGAATAAATGCTTTCAAAAGCAGCCATTCCAAATTACCTGGTAACGTAGATGTCTTATACGTACTGTAGAAAGGTCTGGTAGGTGCTGTAGACATTCTTGTTGCCGCTTCTATTATTGTCACAAACAGAGCAAAGCCAATTAGTAAAATTACAGTTTTCATTGCCGTCGATTTGTTTACGGAGCCGAAAAATCAATTGTCTGAATTTCGGAGAAGAAATCTTTATATATGCACCTATTACGTAGCAAAAACCGGTTGTTGAAAGCGAAAAATTGAAACCTGAAAACATTTCGGAATGTAAATTACGAGTTGACACATTAGTTATGTGGCGGTCCTGTACGCGTTCCGCTGAACCAGCCAAATGCTGACATTGCGTTTACATGGAACAAAAGCACATTTGCGCTAATTACTAGTGACTTCATTTTTATCTTTCATACAATACACATGTAGAGCTTCTTTTGTAAAATAAGCGTGTTAGTAAAATTTAGTTATTTTAAAACGGCCTTGCCATATCGAAATAGTTAACTCAGTTCTTGAACTTTGTTCTTAATCGCAATGAAAGAAATACGGAAAGTTTATTGAAAGCAGCAAAAATATGAACAAATAGAAAAGGCATGTGTCTATACAGATTTAAAGGATGTAAGAAGTAGGACTTCAAGCAAAATAGAAGTGTGGGTCGGTTTAAACTACACCATTTCACATAGATTGTAACCGCTAACACGTTGTTCTCCAATGTGTGTAGTTATAAGTTATAATTGTAATAAATTTTAAATCGATTTTCATTTGAAATTTGGATTATTTTGAGGAGCTTGTTAAGTCAAATAATGCATTGAGTTCAAGTAACCCGCATGAAAATTTTAGATTTTTGACCGAAAACTTTATTGGGAATGTTGATTTTTATCACAAATATCAATTTTCTCAAAATGCACAGCATTTTAATAACATGCAAGATTCGAATGCAGCAAGCTTCGGATCCGAAGTATTTTACATGTATGTTTTATGATCAATTACCATCTTTACTCGACGATATTTTTTGCATTATATACTCAAACACTCTATATATGCATACTCTGACGTTCGTTAGGTCGACGAAAATTCTTTTTTAAGGATTAAAAACAGGATTTTAGTTACTTTGTGCCTAACTGTCATTTTCCTAGACTGAAATGCAATGGGGTGAAAGTGGAAAAACGGCTAAGCTGAATTTTTATGATCATGGTTTCTCTGCAAAAAGTGGCAGGTTTTTTATCGCATTTAATTAATTTTTTTTTAAAATGCCCCTGTACAATCGCAAGATCTTACATCTGTTCAATTTGAACTGCATTCAATCCAACAAAAAAGTTGTTTAATTTTACCCAATTTTTTTCAATCTGAATTTAAAATGAAAGTATAAAACACGAAAATGTCAAATATTTATTTATGAAAGTATTTTTTCATGAAACACCCTATATGTTTTTAGGCAGGCCAATTGGATTTTTTTCTTCATTTCAGAAATATTTGTATTGCCTATATTTGAATTAGCCGTTTTATCTGTATTATCTTTTAAAAATTTTAAATAGCAAGAAATTAAAGTAGCCTGAAACGAAACAAAAACTATAGAAATAAAACATTAACCATAAAGTTGAAAATAAATAAAGAAAAACAAAATCATTAAAATTACTGATTTTGTATAGGACCTACGTTTAACGCTAGACATGCTCTATAATCTACTTCAATTCTCTCTATATGGTTTTAATTATATTGGTAATGATCAATAAGTATATCGTTAATTGCATCCACTATTTTGGGGCGTCTTACTAGAGTCTCATACACAACATTATTTAAATAACCCCAGAGAAAAAAATCAGGAGGCGTTAGGAGGGGCTATTTGGAGGTCATTGGATAGGACCTGCTCGTCCAATCCAGATATCAACATTTTCATGTAAAAGTGCTACCGGGCGAACGTTATGGAGTATAAAGAATATGTAAGTAAAATTTCAAGGAAACTTTGATTTGTTGCTGTTTATAATGTTTAAAATATAATATAGGAAAAATGGCAAATACAAATATAGTAAAAACATATATTTCTAAAATCACAAAAAAAATTTTATTGGCATGTCAAACAATATATAAGGTGTTTCATAAAAAACAGTTTATGTCAAATTTCGAGATTTCCGTGTTTCATATTTTTATTTTTAATTCAGAATTAAAAAATCTTAGCAAAATTAAACAAGTTTTGTGTTGCTCACTCTCACTATTTTTTTGAAATAAACGATCTGGGGGTTGTCAACTTGTGAGGAAATAATAAATCAACGTATTCACACCTATATTTTAAAAAGAATACAAAGTGTCCCACCGGGAACCGCCGGGATCGGTATCTGGCAAACTACAATTAGGAGATTTTTGAAAATTCGACTGTGTCTCAAAGTCGTTGGGGGCAAGCGATCTAAAATGTTTTCAAGATGGCCACACTTGCGGTCAAATCGGAAGTAGGTATCAACTTCGATATTTTAAATAGAAGGCCTTTTATCTGATTGCATTGTTCAATTCCGCTACAAATTCTAAATATATTTAAGGTACATAAGTCTAACCGTTCAACCACAATTTTCAACAAAAAAAATCCTTTTTTTGTAGTTTCTTTCTTGTAAAATCGACACGAATTAAGCAGTCTTAATGGTGTAAATAGCTGAATTGTAGAGGATGGAATTAGGAAGAGAATGAGATGTCGATCCACCTGACAGGATCATTACAATCGGCGAAAATTTGGAAAACCGGAAAACTTTACGTTTTCTTAAAAAACTCAAAACTCAAATTGAGAGCTCAAATTATACGCAATGTAGCTATTTATATACACTTTTTGTGTCCAAAAGCTGTGCTCGATCCGATTATTAGTGTTCATACATTTTCGATTTACATTTTGTGTTAGCATTTTTTTTGCCGACGGTTGCTGGCTGCTGAGACTGTCCGACTAGAATTTAAGATACGCATCTGGAAACTCGATAGGAGTGAAAACAAAGCGTTTATTCCGATTTTCCTATCAGCTTTGGTTAAGTGGGTGAAACAGAGTCTTGAATATGACTGAAAACGGCCGAGCTCCCAAAAGCCGCCGAGCGGTAAGGGACACTGCTGGCTGAGGGGAAAAGTATGCGCCCGCTGCGCGCAATTTATAATTATTTGCATTAAATTATTTTGGCATCTACTGCCGCTATTTCACTGATTTTTGTTTTTTGATTCTGGGGTACATGAACATGAAGAAATCGTTTTTTATTCAGATGCAGCAGAGTAAGCAGGAATTTTATGTTTTTTGCTAAGTGTCGTTATATTTAAAAGCTGAAAATCTGCAGCCTATAATGGTCGCTTAACGATTAAAGTATCGCTTAACGATTAAAGCGTATCTTCAACGTGAACACAGGAGCTGCGCTTTCTTCTTACGCAGGTTTTCCAGTTGTCGAATCAGTCTGGATGTATCCTCCCCGTAGAGGCGTTTTATCAGACTATGAAGACTTTCACGGCCGGTTAAGTCACATTTAGGAATGTTTTCCGGGCTTCGAAGCCGTGGACTATGGGAATTTCTTCCTGACGTTTCGTCCACAGCTGCGGTGGACATTATCAAAGGCGAGTGGGCGAAGTGATCTCCCGTGCTTTCCGACTAACGTACAAGAAGTTGACACGGGATCCGACAGCACGGATACTAAGAACAACGAACAAATTAATTAAGGATATGACATTTCTATCCGAGGAGTTGGGAAAGCTAAAAAAATTAGAAGGATCCATAAACCGGATGTACCACTGAGACCCATTGTGAGCGCCATTGGAAGTCCGACCTACAATATTGCAAAATATCTAGCTAAAATATTACAGCCAAAAATTGGAAAAACGGACAGCTTTATAAAGGACTCATCCCATTTTGTTCAAAGGTTGCACTCGTTGTCGTTGTCGCCCGGGGAAATCCTTGTGAGTTTTGATGTGGTTTCATTGTTCACAATGGTACCAATCAGGTTGCGAGAGAATTTCCACCAGACATCGCCGAACTATTCGAACACTGTCTAACCACAACCTACTTTCAGTGGAACAGGGAATTCTTTGAGCAGACGGATCGAGTAGCAATGGACAGCCCTCTTAGTCCAGTGACAGCCAACTATTTTATGGAAAAATTTGAGAAGAACGCTCTGAACACAGCCGTGAGGAAACCGAAGTGTTGGTTTCGCTATGTTGATGACACTTTTGCTGTTTGGGGCCATGGTCTGATTGAAATTGAAGACTTTCTGAGGCACCTCAACTCAATAAACCCTAAAATTCAATTCACTATGGAAGTGGAGAAGGATGGGCGACTGCCTTTTTTGGATGTTTTGGTGACCAGAAAAGCCAACGTAAAGCTGGCCCACACGGTGTACAGAAAACCGACACATACCGACCGGTACCTGCACAGTGGTTCAAACCATCATCCCAGTCAGAAAAGAGGAGTCATCAAAACTCTCACCGAAAGAGCCAGAAGAATCTGCGAACCAGCCGAGTTAGGGAGAGAATGGAGACACCTGGAAAGGGCCTTGGGTTGGAATGGATACAGTAAGAAAGATTTCAATAGAGCAATTCTTAACTTCTTCCATAATAGTGAAGATCGCTCGGAGACAACAGAGACGCATGATAAGCGTAAGAGTTGGGCTTGCCTCCCGTACATACATGGAGTCACGGACAGGATCGGCAAGATTCTAGAGAAAAACCAAGTAAAAACCATTATTAAACCCACTCGAACCATCCAACAGACTTTGAGATCGGCCAAGAACAAACGGGATCCTTTATCAGCACCAGGAGTCTACAGAGTTCCGTGCAGCTGAGGAGGAGCATACATACGACGGGGAATCAAGCAGTTAAATCAGTCTTAGTCAGATCACTTCGCCCACTGCCTCATCGCCTTTGATAATGTCCACCGCAGCTGTGGACGAAACGTCAGGAAGAAATTCCCATAGACCACGGCTTCAAAGCCCGGAAAACATTCCTAAATGTAAGAATTATTTTGTTTACTAATTATACTAATAATAAGTAAAAATGCGAAAATATGCACTCAAGTAAGTAATTTGTTGGCAAACATTTCAACCGAGTTAGCAACTCTCTTAATCGTTGAAAATCCGCAAAATCTAAATTCAGCAAATGACATCATTACAAATTATGAAATCCTTTTTCTTCCTTCTTCCAATCCTCTTTCTTCAAAATCAAACAAAAACAAATTTCGAACCTCAAGTT